GAGTACATATGGCGATAGGAACCTTACTTCTGCTACCAGGGATACAGTGGAGTGCATTAATGATGCCTTATTATATTTTTAATTTTTGAACATAAGACGAGCCTAACTATTTGCATTGACATCACAGTCATGAATTTACTTGCACACAGTTCCTCTTGAGATCATAGTATGATTTCCAAGATTTTATGTGTGCATATATTGATATTTCCACACTGCTTGAGCTATACTTATTATAACTGGGCATAGGCTCCAATGGAGTGGTGTACACTATTTATGGACAATGGTCTCATTTCTTGCCGGTGACAAATCTTATTGTCTTTAACATACAAGGATCATGCATTTTCATCATGGCTTTAAGTCTTTAAGTGTTACACTTCAATTTACTACCATCTTGTGCGTGTGCAACTCTAGTATATTTTTGCTAGAATTTTTTTGTTGCACATCGTTCCTGTTATTCATGAAATCATACTATGATTTCTAAGATTATATACGTGCATATATATATTTTCCATACTGGTTGAGTTCTCTCTGCTGTTCTGGAGTGAAACTCCAATTAAGTAGCATATACCCCCTCCGTCCCATAATGTAAGACGTTTTTTGACTCTAGTGTATCGTCAAAAAACGTCTTGCATTATGGGACGGAGGGAGTATTTATGTGTGGATAGCAACCTCCAAACTTTTTTTTTCATTTGTTAAGACATTCTTTCATGGCAACTCCAGTATGGTTTTTTCTAGAATATTAACTCTTTGTTGCACATAGTCATGTTCTTCTTGAAGTCACACAATGATTTTTGAGATATATTTGTGCATATACTGAATTTTCACACTGCTTGAGTTATCTCTGTTGTACTAGAGTGAAACTCCAATTACGTGGCGTACATGTTTGTTAAGATGTTACTTTTTGTTTATTAACACATCTTTCATTGGGACTTCAGTATAGTTTTTTCTAGAATATTAACTCTTCGTTGCACATAGTATTGTTCTTCTTGAGATCACACAATGACTTTCAAGATTTATTTGTGCATATACAGAATTTTCACACTGCTTGAGTTATCTCTGTTATACTAGAGCGAAACTCCAATTACGTGGCATACATGTTTGCTAAGATATTACTTTTTGTTTATTAACACATCTTTCATTGGGACTTCAGTATAGTTTTTTCTAGAATATTAACTCTTCGTTGCACATAGTATTGTTCTTCTTGAGATCACGCAATGACTTTCAAGATTTATTTGTGCATATATAGAATTTTCACACTGCTTGAGTTATCTCTGTTATACTAGAGCGAAACTCCAATTACGTGGCATACATGTTTGCTAAGATATTACTTTTTGTTTATTAACACATCTTTCATTGGGACTTCAGTATAGTTTTTTCTAGAATATTAACTCTTCGTTGCACATAGTATTGTTCTTCTTGAGATCACGCAATGACTTTCAAGATTTATTTGTGCATATACAGAATTTTCACACTGCTTGAGTTATCTCTGTTATACTAGAGCGAAACTCCAATTACGTGGCATACATGTTTGCTAAGATATTACTTTTTGTTTATTAACACATCTTTCATTGGAACTTCAGTATAGTTTTTTCTGAAATATTAACTCTTCGTTGCACATAGTATTTTTCTTCTTGAAATCACACAATGACTTTCAAGATTTATTTGTGCATACACAGAATTTTCACACTGCTTGAGCTCTCTCTGTTGTACTAGAGTGAAACTCCAATTACGTGGCATACATGTTTGTTAAGATAGATTACTTTGTTTATTAACACATCTTCCATTGGAACTTCAGTATAGTTTTTTCTGGAATATTAACTCATCATTGCACATAGTATTGTTCTTCTTGAAATCACGCAATGACATTCAAGATTTATTTGTGCATACACAGAATTTTCACACTGCTTGAGCTCTTTCTGTTGTACTAGAGTGAAACTCCAATTACGTGGCGTACATGTTTGTTAAAAAAACGCTTAATGTACCGCTTAGGGCCATAGCAAAGTGTTTTGCCATCACTCAGCGTGCTTAAGTCACTTCAAAACTCTTTCTTGAACACCGGGTTTTCTATTCTCCTTGTTTCTGGTATATCAAACGATCAACTCGTAGTAACGGAGAATTACTTGCGGTTTGGATTATTTTACCTTCCGGTAGATTGCTTATGTATATATTATTCTTTTGCTTTGACACTGAACACTGGAGATGTTGTATTCTGCAGCGATACCAGCTTTATCACCATCTGATCATTTTGTAAAATGCAGACACTATGATGAAATTTGCCTCCTTTGAGACTATTGTCGAGAATATCTACAAGTATGCAATTCCTGCCCCCAAGAGCGAGTGCAGCAAGTCTCTCCAGCTCGGGGTGAGCTTTGCAGGCGGTTACGTCGCTGGAGTGTTCTGCGCAATAGTTTCGCACCCAGCTGACAACCTTGTTTCATTCCTCAACAATGCTCAGGGAGCAACTGTGGGCGATGTGAGCTTCCTACTTTGTAACTCAGTCATTGAGCACCTTTTAACGTTTTGTCTTGGTCTTGTTTCTTACAGTATGTTTACTTTTTGCATGTGCAGGCTGTGAAGAAACTTGGCCTGTGGGGTCTGTTTACGCGTGGACTCCCTCTGCGTATCGTGATGATTGGTACCCTCACTGGAGCTCAGTGGGGCATCTATGATGCTTTCAAAGTCATGGTTGGACTGTAAGTATTCCATTTTTGGTGGCCCTCGGCCGCATTGGCCCTAGAGGCCAGTTATTAGTCTTCTTCATGGAAACTTAATCGTGCTTTGTCTTGTTCATGGAAACTTAATCGTGCTTTGTCTTGCTCACGGAAACTTATTCGTGTTTTGTCTTGTCCAGGCCAACTAGTGGTGGAGTTGCTCCGCCTGCTGCCGCTGGAGAGCAGATCAAGGGCTGAAGGCTTTGATTCTATATATACTGAATATCTAACAAGATTTTTTTGCCGCCGAATTGGATGATGACGAAATAGCTCATCTTTCATCCTTTTAAGAGCAAAACGATTTTTTTCAGGACTGCCTAGTCGCAGCCCTGGTAATTACTAGAAGTCAAGGCAGTTTAGGAACAATTTTCGGCACATGATCGTCTGGTTTAGGACGATTGCCTGAACCATAGCATACTTGCCCATTTTTGAAGTGTTATTATATGTTTCAGCTCTGTCAATAAAAGCTGTAATTAAGCGCTTGCTTATGGTTATATTTTGCTGGTCTGGTTTCACCAGCTTGTTACATTGCTGTGTTTTGAATCTGCTGTGTCAGAAGGTGTTGTTGCGATCTCGCAGAAAATGCGCAGAGCACTACTGCAATTGACTTGATTGAGCCCTGTTTTGGCCATTTGTTGATTGTTCATCAACAAATGTAGGGTTGTTGGCAAGTCTGGGTACTGCGTACAGCTGTTGTACCGTCGACCAAGTAAAAACCAAGCGTAGGGTTGTTGTACAGTCGACCAAGTAAGAAAGGTTTCAAACAACGCGCTATTTTCGTACGAGAAACTACGTAGTAGAATGGCAAGATATGTTGGACTGTCGCTCTCTGAAACAGACGCCCAGCAAGAGAAGGGATGAAGCCATACGCCAACCAGGAAAAAGATCTCCCAACTCGTATGAAATACCAAGCTGCCACGTCTCCTCGCCTGCTTCTCTAGTTGCTCTCCTGATCCCATGTGGCGGCTTGCTGCTACACAGAGGCACGCAAACTCTGTATGCAGTATCTGCAAATACAAAATGAAATAAGTGTGTTGGCTCCATACTGCATGGTTAGCGTAGCCGAATGGAGGAAAGACGAACTCCAATTGCAAACACGTAACCTGGAATTAACGAAAATGAAACAACGAAATGCAACTTTTCAAAAGAATAATAACAAAGAAACAACGAAATACGACTCGGACGAACAAAAACGAAAGGGTGAATAAGTGACTCTTGCATGGATACAGCGGGTTGTGTGTCCAACTTGAAGCTATCAATAATCTACTGTAAAATAAAATGGGTAACAGTGAGTTGCTTGGGCACCCTGTGTTAGGCTGGTCATAGTGGGAGTAACATAGATAGTAATATAGATGCCACATAAGCAAAAATGTTGATGTGGCAAGTAGTTAATGAGGAGAGAGGCAATAGAGTAACATAATATGTTACCATCACATAGCGCTTTTCAATGCAAAATGAGTCTACAAGACAATAAATGAACATGTGTATGTTACTACACATATGACACTTCCCACTATAAGAATAGTAACATAGAGTAGTAACATATGTATGTTACTACTCTAAGTTACTCCCCACTATGACCAGCCTTACGCGCGCAGAAGATGGGAGGATAAAATCCTGGGCCAGGATGATCAATCCGATCCGACCTTCCAAATGGAATCCAGCGATTGGCTGCCGTTCGTCCTCCTCTGAGCCCCTCACCACCACGAGTCAGTCCCCTCCCCTTCCCCTTCACAGCTTCACTCCCTCTTCCCCCTTCCACAAACTCCAGTCCAGCCGAGAGTTCTAGAAGCCAACCTTAACATTTCCCCTCCGGCCACAGCCTCCACTTGCCCAACAACGCTCTTCTCATTCTGCAAACCCGCGGGAGCGAGCTCGATCGGACCACCGGGGTCCATGCCCATGGCGCTCCTCTCCGCCACCTCCCCCGCCAAGACGCTCTTCTGCCACGAGGAGCAGTACCCGGCGCAGAGCGGCCTCCTCCTCTCGGCCCCGCAGTCCAGGAAACAGAGGGCGCGCGCCAGGCTGGTGGCGGCAATGCGCCCGCCGGGCGCGGCCGCCACGGAGACGGCCCCGGCGGCTTCGTCGTCGGGGGCCACGAAGGGGAAGCCTCGCGTGCTGGTGGCCGGCGGCGGTATAGGGGGCCTGGTGCTGGCGCTGGCGGCTCGGCGCAAGGGGTACGACGTGACGGTGTTCGAGCGGGACATCAGCGCGGTGCGCGGGGAGGGGCAGTACCGCGGGCCCATCCAGATCCAGAGCAACGCGCTGGCGGCCCTGGAGGCCATCGACATGTCCGTGGCCGAGGAGGTCATGCGCGAGGGCTGCGTCACCGGCGACCGCATCAACGGCCTCGTCGACGGCATCTCCGGCTCATGGTACGTCGGCTCAACTCAATCGGCCGTGGCTGCTTATCAACTGCTGCTCACCCGCTCTCTGTCGCCCGCTTGCTCGTCGTGCCTTTCCTGCGCTGCAGGGAGCTTGCACGCTTGACCGTTCCGCGGTCGCACTATATTAGTATTAGGGCATGTACAACGGTGGCAATACCAAACGGTAGCCTCATGTATGCATGCGTATAAAGTCGTATGGAGCAGCTATCTATGGGAGCATGGAACCAACGGAAGCAGCAGCGCCCTGGGGCCACTCACCAGCTTTTCCTGTTCTTTTCTTTCCCTCAAATGAGCTCAACCCTCTGGCTCATCCTCTCTCTCTCCTCACTTTCTTTGCTTTATTGATGAAGCGCCTACCTTCTCTGCAAGAGGTCGTTTGGGTCTGCAGGCAGTAGTCTTTTTAACTCGATTCTCCACGTCAGATGATTCTCCAACGTGGACGGGCGGAGCAGCTGTCCAGCGTGGAGCATTGGCCATGCCCTTAGCGCGCAACGTGCGTTACCTGAGCAAGTGATTTCTCTGCTGATCCCACGACCACCACCACGCACGCACGCACGCACGCACACACGGCGCCGCCCACGATGGCCCCGCCCTACCCGGCCGGGCAAGAGTGAAGCCTCCGCGCGGCGGCTTCCCATTCGCCCGTAGCCGCCACGTTCCCCGACCGCCCAAGCGCACCGAGGCACCAATCCTGGAGCGCACCGCACTCCGTTTTCCCACCACCACGGGACAGCGACCTACACATCCGACTCGGCTCACCTCCGCTACAAAGAGAAATTCATTCCTCCGTTTCCGTGCCCGGTCCCCCCTGCCTGTCGGCCCCTATAAAATTTCGTTATCCCGGCGCGTCGGCGCAACGATACCAATCATGGGTGTGTTCGCGAGTACCGGTGCCCGGCGCCGGCGGTCTCATCCCTCCCCTGCCACCCCCACGTGTCTGCTCTCACCCATCCCGATCGCCAGGCTAAATAGGTACTCCTACTAGAAGATGTTCTCCTTGTGTACAAAACAAAACCCAGCCTAACTGCCGAGAGCGTACATTTGGAGCTCCAGTCCAGGGCATGTCCACTCGGGCCGACTCGAATTTTTAGAGGAGAGTCACTACACACTGACCGGCAGCGAGCACTCTCTGCTCATCACAAGCTCAGCTTCCACGGGGACTTCCCGGCTGCTTGTCTACTGTCACAAATTCCTCCTCATGCCAAGCTCCAGCTGCGCCCGCGTCTCTCCCACGGGCACGGCGATCTCCGCCCCACCCGCCTCCTCCTCGTCGACAACACTCCGGCGCGTACTCGCCTTCCACCCACCGCGCGCGCCGCAGGGGCGCTGCGTCTGCCTTTCTGGTTCCGTAAGGTGCACTGCGGAGGTCGCTGACGCGGCAATGCACGCGCCCAGGCCGCCGGACCCCAAGCCGCGCGTCCTGGTCGCCGGCGGGGGGATCGGCGGCCTCACCTTCGCGCTTGCAGCCAGGCGGAAGGGCTTCCAGGTGCTCGTGCTGGAGAGGGACATGAGCGCCGTCCGCGGGGAGGGCAAGTACCGGGGACCCATCCAGCTGCAGAGCAACGCGCTCGCCGTCCTCGAGGCCGTCGACATGCCCGCCGCCGACCAGATCATGGACGCCGGATGCATCACCGGCGACCGCGTCAACGGGATCGTCGACGGCATCTCCGGCTCCTGGTACTAATCACGTTTCACTCACACGAGTAGCCCACTGCTTGGTTGCTTGTTATACTACTACCAAGGATTTGTCCGCTTGCGCCTAAAAATGCTGGGATTTCTCTCTGGCATCAAGTTCTTGTGCAAGCTAGCCTAAGAAGACTCTGTTCATGTGCTACAGTGCACTATCGCCACTTGGTACAACCCGATTGGTAGCAGTTCTTGCTCACCTGCTTTAGTACGCCATACCATAGCAAGTAGTACAGCTCACACTTGATTGGTTAATCATAGTAGACCTGCAATTAGTCAATGATAGCAACACGAGCGAATGAATAATACAATGTAATTTGTTGCTTACTTATCGATGTTGATTTGTATAATTAAATTAAACATGTAGAGTACTTACTTGTGCTTATTCTACTGCATATTTGAATTTGCTAGTTGATCAGCTTCAAGATCCATTTGACCGAGCCATGTTGGTATGCAGGTACATCAAGTTTGATACCTTCACTCCTGCGGCTGACAGAGGGCTCCCGGTCACAAGGGTCATTAGCCGCATGACGCTGCAGCAGATTCTTGCCCGTGCCGTCGGCGACGACGCTATAATGAACGATTGCCACGTTGTCGACTTTACTGATGATGGCAACAAGGTGAACCATCAGTTCAGTTGTCTTTGAGTGGTCATCTCAGTGCAAAACTGGCTCACAATGCTATGGAAAAAGTCTAATGTTTGTAACATTCGGCGGATAACTGCAGGTCACCGCGATATTGGAGGATGGGCGGAAATTTGAAGGTGATCTCTTGGTTGGAGCAGATGGCATATGGTCAAAGGTAATGTAGTCAGTTGCCTTTTCAAAAATAGGATCAAAGATGACCTCAACACAGATTTATTTTGAGGGACCTGAATTAATATTAAGTTCATTGGATAGGTGAGGAAGTCGCTTTTTGGCGAAACGGATGCATCTTATTCAGAATACACTTGCTACACCGGAATTGCAGACTTTGTGCCTCCTGATATTGACACAGTCGGGTATGCGGCTCAGATCTTAGAATGAGCACTGTCATTTCCTCTAATTGGAAATACTAATGCGCCTCCTCTTCTTCCTCTGTTGAAGGTACCGAGTGTTTCTTGGTCACAAACAATATTTTGTCTCCTCAGACGTTGGTGGTGGTAAAATGCAGTGGTATGCATTTCACAAGGAACCTGCTGGTGGTACTGATCCTGAGAATGGTGAGTGCCCAGAGGGAAGCTTTTGCACTAAGTTAGTTAAATGCTACCTTCCTCGTATAGTCGTATAGTTTATGATGTGAATGGGGGAAATATATTTGATAGGCATTGCCTATGTGCTTGTCATCCATTCATCCACTAATGCTGTATATTGACAGGCAAAAAGAAAAGACTGCTCGAGATATTTAGCGGTTGGTGTGATAATGTCATAGATCTGCTAAATGCAACTGAGGAGGAAGCAATTCTTCGCCGGGATATATACGACCGGCCACCTACTATCAACTGGGGGAAAGGTCGTGTCACCTTGCTTGGTGACTCTGTCCATGCTATGCAGCCAAATCTGGGACAGGGTGGCTGCATGGCTATTGAGGTACATAATTACTTAGCCATGCCTATGATATCATTGTCACTATCAGAAATTCAGCACGGTGGATAGGTTTCTTGCCTTGGTGCTGTGAGACATAGTACTCGCTGATCAAATAACTTGTCACTTGTTATAGGATGGTTACCAGCTACTTGCTGCTCTAAAATAACTTGTCACTTGCTATAGGATGGTTACCAGCTGGCTGTAGAGCTTGAGAAGGCCTGGGAAGAGAGTGTCAAGTCTAGAACTCCTGTGGACGTTATTTCCTCCTTGAGGAGGTAACTATTTCTTTCCTTGTGTTGTACTCGTAGCATGTTAGTTTGTTCAGATGGTATTGCTTTTAGCATCCAGTAGAATACTAACAGAATCCAATTCCAAAGCTGCCCTATTATTATGTCCTTGGTAAGTCTGACTGATGGGCATGGTATTTGTTTGCATGTTTGTCTGCAGTTATGAGAAGGAGAGAAAGCTACGTGTTGCTATCATACATGGATTGGCAAGAATGGCGGCAATCATGGCTACCACTTACAGACCATATCTAGGTGTGGGTCTGGGACCTTTGTCGGTAAGTCAAGAACTACACAGCTTTGTACTTCTAAACACATTTAGTTGGTTTTTGTCTCTCGGCCTGATTAAAACTGCTTGTTGAGTTGGCCACCCGTGATTTTATTGGATATATGAAGCAAGGTTTAAAACTAGATTGCCTGCTTCATAAGAGTATTATCAAACAATGTAGACTAAAATTACTATATGGATATTTGTCACATGTAGTTTTTGACAAAGTTGAGGATACCGCATCCTGGAAGAGTTGGCGGCAGATTTTTCATCAAGGTTGGAATGCCTTTGATGCTGAGCTGGATTTTAGGTGGCAACAGGTGATTTTTTTGAGCTATAAGTTTGTTTCCATTTCGAGCTCACAAGTAAATGGTGCTGTACTTTTTAATGGAATTTGTAAATACAGAACAATATTTTATTTTCATTAGGGTTAGATGCCTTCTCACCATGCACAGAAGGACTTCCCAATTGTCTCTTCTTACTCTCCATCTATTAATCATGATGGAAATACGATATGAATATTGTTTTTGATATGCAGTTCAAAGCTAGAAGGAAGACCGTTAAGTTGCCGGCTTTCTGACAAGGTATATTTCTAAAAGACATGTAAACACCTAATAACTGTACAAAACAAGATAACTATTTGAAAATCTCTGACATTTAGCATCCCACTGTAGGCAAGCAACCAGCTTGGTCGATGGTTTCAGGATGACGATGCATTGGAACAAGCTATGGGTGGAGAGTAAGTTCATTGCTTATCCTCTGGTTTCATTTTGAACCAGACATGTTCTGCATACTACTTTCAGCGCCTTTGAAAAGAGTAGTTATTTGAGTGACACTATTCACAGGTGGTACCTCTTCCCTATGAGCTCTGGAGGCGACTCTGCCTTGCAGCCCATTCGTTTGATCAGGGATGAACAGAGGACACTCTCTATTGGGTAGGTGTACATAGCAAAACTATTTATCTTTATACAACACTTTTTTCCTCAAGGCGTTGCAGAATAAAACAAATGTCTCTTTTTCTTGGCAGAAGCAAACCAGATCCGAGCAATTCTGATTCTTCGTTGTCGTTCCCCTTGCCACAAGTAAGTTATTAAAATGATATGTGGCAAATTTTTAGTGTTACCCGTTTAATCCTCAAAATTGCACCCATGGCTGCATTTTCCTTTGTCGATAAACTTCTTAACTTCCCTTTGATCTGTTGAACTTCCTTGTAGGTATCAGAGATCCATGCTACTATCACATGCAAGAATAAGGGTTTCTATTTGACCGATCTCGGAAGCGAGCATGGTACATGGTTTAACGAGTAAGTTCTGAGAGCAGCCTGATTCCACTCTCTTGCTCCAGAAGTCAAAACTTTACAATGTTAACCCGTTCTCTTCCGTGTGAAATCTCCAGCAACGAAGGCAGACGCTACCGGTTACCTCCAAACTTCCCAGTTCGTTTCCACCCTTCTGATGCCATCGAATTTGGTTCAGACAAGAAGGTAGCCGTATCCTGTTCTCCATATCTTACCTTTGCTTCCTATCTGCCCGATGACCCAGTCAATCATGATTCATCGTGAAATGCCCACTTCTGGATTCAGAACTCTGATCAACTTGAGCAAATTTGCAGGCCATGTTCCGGGTGAAGGTGCTGAGCACGCTTCCATACGACTCCGCGAGAGGTGGAGAAGAAGTTCTGCAGGCAGCATGAGTGGGGACTTCAGTGATCCCTTGTCACCAGCCACTGTACAGCATTCTTCAGTAAACAGCCGACACTGCATCACGGAAAGAAAAAGAATTGTAATTTTTGTACTCATCCAGATATCCAAAGCAGGATTTTGAATAGTTTCTGACAGAATTACTACGTTGCAGTTCTACGAAAAGAACTCAGGGTGTAAAATAGGGGTAGGCAATTTTAGCTGTTGCCACTGTAATACGTACATTGTTGTGCTATTAACACGTGTTCACATTGCAATACAGAAAACATGTTAATACACCATGAACACCATGCCGCAATGGATTCGTTCTAAGGTATATGCACCAGTAGCTTGTAGTTTGATATTTTCTCTTTGTAAGAGCGATACTTAGGACCAAGGAACCAACAAAGGCCTTAAGGCCTCTGTCATGCCCGAGTGGTCATGCCGCTATGCTCTCATTGGGCTTTACTTCGGAAGGGGCTGTGGTGCTTGGGCTTGGCCCAACTACAGGAGTCGAGGTCGCTGGTTATAAACGAAGAGAGCAGCACATGGGAAAGGCATGGAACTGATTGAAAAGTCTGAACCTTCTCACCCCCCTGCTTCCGTTCCTCACCTTTCTGCTACCTGTATCTCATCCCTCTTCTGCTGGTCCTCACCCCAAATTCCCCTTGTATCCCTTGATTTGTACTCGATATTGGTACTGATCTGACTGTCCGTCCCATATCCATGTTTGGGTCGTGACAGCCTCCTTCGGTTCATAGGATATGATGAAAGAAAACCACATGAAGGGAGATGAAATGTATCTCAATTCGTATAAGAAAATATATGTCATTTGATGCATGTGATGATAATTTTTTTTCATTCAAAATGTGAAGGATTGGTTCCAATGCTATATAGGAATGGGTAAGCCTACAAACCAAAAGATCCTAAAAAAAAATCTACAAAATTCCTATCCTTTGGCAGTACAAAATTCCCAAAGGAGGCCAGTAATCGTCAGCGGCTGAACCTTAGGATCATGACGGTGGATCCAAGACACGCGGTGGTGTGGTCTTCGCCGCCGCGACCGTGGCTCGCCGTCGAGGTGCGGGATCTGGGGCGGAACCACTTGATCGCAGCCCCGCACAGACCGATTCTACAGCCGTTGGATCATCCTTGTTCGGTCCAGATGCACGCGCGGTAGGCATGTATACTCCACCGGTACGCCGAGTGAGGTGTCTGTCCTCGTAAGCCATGTCACCCCGGGCCGCCGGCGACCGCCGCGGGAGCGAGACCCTAGCCAAGGTCTCCCTCTCGTCGGTCTCGGCCGCCGCGGCGGAGGTCTCCACCTTCCCCCTCGACGCCCTCAAGACGCGCCTCCAGCTCCACCGCAGCACCGGTGGTGGTGGTGGGGGTGGCGGCGGCGGCGTCTTACGCGTCGCGGGCGAGCTCGTCCGCGACGGGGGGCTCTACCGGGGCCTCTCCCCCGCCGTCCTCCGGCACCTCTTCTACACCCCGCTCCGCATCGTCGGCTACGAGCACCTCCGGTCCTCCCTTGCCAGCGGGGGCCGGGAGGTGGGCCTCCTCGAGAAGGCGGTTGCTGGGGGAGCCTCCGGCGTCGCCGCGCAGGTAAACATATCTCTGTGAATATCAGATCCGTAGAAGTGCGATGCTCTTGTGCCTGCAAGGCGTGTGCAATTCCGCTTGGCTAATCAGGGAGCTTTTGATCTGTGCTATGGTGGAGAAATGTGATCTCCTGAACTAGATTGAGAACTTGGTAATATTACGCTTTCAAAATAGTAAATCTGAAATCATGTCCGTTGGAGAACTAAGAGAATGTATATCTGAAAATAGCATGGCTTTTTGGATGCCGCAACACGTTATTCATTTTAAACACTGCTAAGCATCGCCATTCTTTTACATACGTATGAAGAAGTGTATTAGGGGTGTATCTTTTTCATTACATAACTTAAATTATAAATATTGCTGGCATTCCACCTTATCCTCATGTGATGACTATATTTGCTAATACCTCCGTGGTACATGAAGCCACAGTGGCGTCCATCTTGGCCGTGGCATCAACCTCAATCATGTCCGCTACATCGGCTAATAATGCTTCAATGAACTATAAGATTGTGATCAAAACTTTTAGTGGACACGGACACACGGTGCGTGTCACACACTCTACGTCAGTGTGATTAGGGACTAGGGATTGCAATTCACAGCGTAGGATTCGGGACTGAGGTCCAGGGTACTCAGTGATGCCCCATCAGGGTTGTGAACTTGCTGGATACAATATGGTTTGACTAGCACTATCATCCAGGCCTCAATCATATTGCTCGCTGTTAGGCTTCACAATGGGCAAATAGGTGTGAGGTGCGGTGTTTCTGATGGCCAGATGAGAAATTATGTACAGATTTGAATCAGTATCATCTAACTGAACTAGTCAACATAACCCCCTCCACCTCCCCTGGATGGTTGGCAATTCATCACTACACCCCTTGCGTGATATAGATGGTACTTGCATGGTTGTATCCCTGGAGAAATATGTGATTTGAAGAAGGAAAGAAACAGCGAGTGATCAGCATGTTATAGTTATGTGCTAGATTTAGAATCATGGTCTCTTAACAAATGTAAGTATTTCCTTGCCCTATATATTGCTATCTAACGCAATAGTTAATGTGCCTCCTACTTTGCAGTGCAGGTGGTGGCAAGTCCAGCTGATCTCATAAAGGTAAGGATGCAAGCAGACAGCAGATTGTTGACCCAAGGCATTCAATCTCGGTACACGGGAATCTTAGATGCCTTCACAAAAATCATCCGTGCAGAAGGTTTGTTGGGACTTTGGAAGGGGGTTGGTCCTAATGCACAGCGAGCATTTCTTGTCAACATGGGCGAGTTGACCTGCTATGACCAGGCAAAGCATTTCATCATCCGCAAGCAGATCTGCGACGATAATCTGTATGCTCACACACTGGCCTCTGTTGCCTCTGGTCTGTCTGCGACTACATTGAGCTGCCCAGCGGATGTGATCAAAACCAGGATGATGAACCAGGGCCTGGAGGCGAAAGCTCTATACAGGAATTCTTATGATTGTTTGGTCAAGACCGTCAAACATGAGGGCCTGACAGCATTGTGGAAGGGTTTCTTACCTACATGGGCCAGGCTTGGCCCATGGCAGTTTGTGTTCTGGGTTTCCTACGAAAAACTCCGACAGGCATCAGGTATTTCTTCGTTCTGATAGTGCTGGCTGAGTTTTCATGCAAGAGGCATACATATCAAAGATACTGTTATTTCTGAACCTTTAGTCTGTGGCCACGTATTACTGTGCCCATGTGCATTTACGTTTAATTTGGGTCTGAACTCTGAAGTCTATATCTGATGGTGCAGCAGCAAGCTCATAGATTTGTCACTCCTTACAAATCACATTTCCTCATACTCTTCATTTTGGGTGCTATTCATGTACTCCCTGTTCAGACAAGAATTCGAAAGCTCGCCCTTTTGTGTTCATGTGCGCACAAGCAGTCATCTTGCACTGCAGACCTGTTGCAGGTGCTCGGTATCTCTTGCACCACAATATGTGTATGTGCGCAGACCAGGTCGCTTCTGGCTTCTGTCCAGCTCTTTTGAGGAGCTCAAGTGGATCCCCGGAGTCATGTGCTTCTTTTGGGGAGCCAGGGCGACTCATGTGCGGACTACCTGCTCTATCATATTCATTGCACAGCGACTCATGGGCATTGGAATCAGGTGCAAGGTGGTAGTATCTAAGTCTGTTGCGGGAATCTGATAAGTAAGCGTGAAAGTTAGATGAGCGTGTTCTGCAAAGATTTCAGTTGCTGCTAAAGTTAGAATCTGGTCAAAACGCCACCGCAGAGAGCAGGAACTGAAGATAACCTGAAGAATGATTGCACTTGAATACAAGCGTGCAGAGACGGTTGTGCAAAGCCTGCGTATTTTCAGGGGTTTTCATTTAGCATCTGCGTGTTTTCAGGTCAATGTTTCGATTGAGGCGCTAGTGTTTTTTTAGAGAGAGAGAAAGAAGAGGCGCCAAGGGCTTGCTTGGCACGGTAAATCCCGGTAGGTACATAAAAATTAGAACCAATTCAAACATCCCTACAAGTGTAACACAGGCTGAACTGTAGTGCTGAGCAATCCGGCGACCGGGTAGAGGAATTATCAGCAGTTGCTATGGCCATCTAAATTAAGCACCGTGTACTGGGCAAACAAGCCATGCTTTTATCATCCTCTTGCCCATATTGTCAAATCTAGATACAGTCAAAACCATAAATTTTGCCAGCCGGAAGAGTGAGCCGTCACGTCATTAACAAGGAATACAGGGGTACAAAGAAAAGGTGAACATGTCTTGTTTACTCACAGCTAATCCTTAGGTGTTAATTACAGTATTGAACCATGGAAGACACGGGCATGATTCCGATAGGGGACGGGCCAAGTGACCTTAATTCAGATCTGCCCAAAATGAAATTCAGGATCTCACAGCTAATCCTACTTGACAAATACAACGCGGCGGCTATGTGTCACGCTTCTATACGATGGATAATTTACATGGTGGCTGACCTTAGGAGAGGTAGCCGTTAACACGCCTTCGTCCTGTTTATGCGCCGCCACTGAGAGAAAGCCCACTGAACATGTTGGTATCAACAGGCAATTCCCTTGCTCCATAGCATCACAAGACGAGGAGTATCTTTTGCTTTGGCGCTTCAACACAAGTCCCTCCCTCCCTCTTAATCCAGCTGTTCATCTTAGATCCTAACTCCATGATAATACATCTAACAGATCAACCATTGCAAGAGTGCCAAGTGTCAGCTATGCGTCGGTCTTTCGGAATATCGTTAGATGGTTGCTCCGGAGATGACTCTTGCCCTTGGTTACTACTCGCTTGACCCACTGTTTCTTGAGGAGGAATCTGCAAGTATAGGAAGATTTATTCCAAATGTGGCTTTCAGGCTGAAAAATAGGTCAGAAGAGTGGAAGATATAATACCGCGTGAGGGCCGCTTTCCCTCCATTGCTTCTTTCTTCTCCTGGCAACTGTGGCAAAGGAACGGACCATCCCAGGGACACACCTTTCCTGGCTTTGACAAACCTTCGTGTATCGATATCCCCTGACCAGACTCTAACTCTACTTGACAAATTGCACATACAAAGAGCTTGAACATATTTCGGACTGGATACTCAGAGTCTAGCCTGCATTCACCAGAAATAAAATGACAGCAATTAATAGATAATAACAATAAAAAAGTTTGGATGAACCCAACTGGTAAGCCATTCAGCTTCATAAGGTGTTTACACAGCTTCAATAGTTCAAGGTAGTATTTTAAATGGTTTTAAAGTTCAGTGTCGAAAATTGAACTTTCGCCATAAGTTTAGGATTGGATGGCTGACATTTCTTTCTCTTTTGATGTTTGTGTCAAGTTCTGGATGAACACTATGGTGGGGGAGTTTGAGTTGTCCTATTGTTGTCAATCTATGGTGGAACCCAACAAGGCGTATGGCAAAATATGGTGTTTTCACGAGACATGACAATTGTTGCCAATCAAACATCGAATCATATTTTTTGACAAAATAATCTTGAAGGACTGAATCCAAATATTTAGCAATGCTACAAAGGAAGTATAGCGCCCTAAAATAATAATTGTCGAAAGAAGACTTATTGCCTGGTTGGTAAAATGTAATGCTAGCCAAATGTACTAAATAAAACACAAATCTAACATGTGATAGCCTAAACACAGAAACACCTGTACCAACCTGACTTCAGTCGAAAGGGCTATGCCCAGTTTCGTTGGATGTTAAGGTGTTATATAGTAGAAAACCCGTACCCAATGCTCAATCAAAATGATATTTTCTATTAGATGTATAGCATCAACCGTTGTCACAGAATCTAACAGAACCTGTGTTCCAGGCTTCCAGCATATACAAATTATCAGAAAGCTAAACCACTACTATTAGTTTAGCACGAGTAGCGAGGAAGTGTTTCCCAAGTACGAGTTATTGTTTAGTCAGGAAGCTTTGGGTTCACCTTATAATTGTGTGTGAACTAGTATGGATCCATCGACGCGATGGAGAAAGGGAACATACCATCTTAGTAGAGATGGGCACCCATCCTCAAAGACTTCCTCCACCAAGTCGGGCTCAGAAGTACGTTCCGTATCAGCATGCGATAATGTGTCTGATGTTCTTTTTCTGATGAATATATTTTTCAAAAGACTAAAACCATTCCGTGCCTTCTTTCGAGAATGTATAGTGGATTTCGGTTTTTCTGGTGGTATTATGTCAATAACAATACAAGTTGTATCATCCCTTAATCCTTTTGAATCCACTGCTTCCTGCAAAAGATCAACAGTAAAGAACAATTTTATTCTAATGCACAAAGACATGGTACAAACTGAGGATTTCAGGTTGTATGCTAAGAAATGAGTGGTTAAGTGGCTGTACTTTGACAATTTGATCCGCTGCAGCATCTGGAGGAAGCCCTCGTGCGCAACTAAAAGCCATTTCGGCAGTCAAGGCATCCCAAACACCGTCACTTGAAATAATAAGACGACCTCCAGTACTAGATAGCTGTAGCAAGCATTAGAAGACATTAATATTTCCAAAATATGATTAAAAATCTTCATAAAACACTTTATTACAAGAATGCGGATTTTTCACACATGGGTACAGGCAAAACTTTTTGCAAAATGCACCTTGTATATTTCAAGAGGCAATATGGATTTTGTGTGGATGTGCCACATACATGTGCACTTGAGAAACATCATGCAAAAATATGAACTATTTGTGAACCACAAAAATCTGTACTGCTACAAGACTCTTGCTATGTTTGCAAATATATCGTATCTTTTCCGTACAATACACAAAATAGAACTAGGATTTTTTCAGATGGTGTTGAATTTTACAGGTTGTGCTTCTGCAATACGTTGCAGAACACCAATGTCTATCAAATTTACACAAAATAGATATTTCACAAAGTGACAAGAAAATAAAGATGACGAAGACAACGAGAATATTCAGAGAGTAGAACTTCTGGTACCTATCACTTTTATTGTGACGTTTTGAATTTGGTTCTGTACAGAACAGACGTGAAGAAAACTTTAGGACATTGTACCTTGATCTGCTTCACAAAAGGAACAGGAATGATAAATTCACCAACATCCTGATCACCAATTGATCTTGATAGGCATAAACCTCCTGGCCAACATCTAAGGGGGCCAATCTGGGTGGGCAATGAAGGAAAGAAGGGTCAAGCTAAAGGTGTGCATCAGACCTATTAACACAATTATGGTTCAGGGAAACATGAGAAGATTTATATACAATATATGTAATCGTGATAATGTGCACGCGCAAAGTTTTGAAATGAACTACCGAACGGTGAACACTCGACAGCATGTAGAGTAGGCACTTATTAAAATTCCTAGGTACACAAAAAAAAGGTAAGTGTCGTTCTAAACAAAAATTAGTACTTGTATAATAAGTTGATTCATTAGTCCCTGCAGATTAAAATAACAAAGAAACAATCAAACAATTAAAAAGGGGCGAATTTGAAGTAAACAGCAAGCCCTAGTCACCAAATGAAAATTCTACGCGTAGTAACTTGGTACAAGTCAAATCAGTCGCTAACGGATAGCAACACTTTCATAGCTACATCTTTTCAAAGTCATGAAAATATAAAGATCCAACTTCAGAAAGTTCCTTGGCTGCCAACACGCAAAATAGAGGGAAAACTTGAGGAGAAGCAAAAGATGAAGAGCAAAACCTCAGCTCCACCAACAATATTTAGCCTGCCAACTTCACCTCCACATTCTGTTACACGTCCAACTCTACAAATGGAGACCAGAAAGTGATAAGAAGCAGCGACATATACTCATGAAGAGAGCAACGGAATTAATGCTTTCGTGATATATAAACAAATCTTACTCCTCCCCGCTAGCATCAAAACGATGATCAGCCGACAGGTAGTAAATTAAACCCTCTGCTTCAAGAACACATCGAGAATCGCCGACAGATGCGGCAGTCACAACGGAGCCGTCGATTATGACGAGCGTCACGGTTGTCCCCGAAGAGTGTGCTGAAAGACAGGAGAGGACAAACAAGGTTCAGCACTGGTACTGTAGGAGCGTACTAGCAGCACGAGAGCATGGCCATGCCCAATTTGAGTTGATGACCACCCAAGCTGTGTGTACTTCTAGACATGGCAGTAATTGGTACTAGTAGTAGTACTAGGAATGGAGGGTCTTAATTAGCTCCATGTATAAAATGGGAGCTGGGAATTTGACCTCTTGTCTGGAAATCCTTGTCGGTCTTGACGAAGCCGGCGACGAGCGCCCTGGGCAGCGCGGCGAGCCACTCGTCCCTGGTGAGGTGGGCGGGGACGCAGCCAAGCACATTGGCGAGGAGCCTCTCCTTGGCGTACACCGCGGCGGCGGCCCCGTTGTGGCCGTCGAACATCTGCAACCAGCGGGAGCCAGACAGACACCTCTCAGAGTCACAGCAGATCGCCGGGCGAGATGAAGTGTGTAAAATGCAGCGGACGCGTGGGGACGGGGAGCTTACGGCGAATGCGGAGAAGGATGCGCCCGGGTGGCGCTCGCAGCCCTGCTTGAGCAGCGCGTAGTCCTCGCCCTTCCTGGCCCGCGCGGCCTGGCCCGCGGCGACCCCGGGCCGCTCGCCCCCCGCCGCGTCGGCCCGCTCCGCCGACGCCTCCCGCAGCAGCAGGTCGGCGAGCGCCATGCTCCCGTGGCGCCGCCTGGGCGTCCTCACCTCCGCCACCGCCATCGTCGCTCAGATCCCAGCCGCGGATCCGGCGCGCATGGCAGGCGGGCTAGCTAGCTGGCTGGGCGAGAGAGAGCACGCGCGCGGGACGGGTCTCTGGCTCGCGCTGGCAGGCAGGCAGGCAGGCAGGCAGGAGGGTTGGCCTGGCGGTGGTGGTGTGGTCGGGTAGCGCGAGCGAGCAAGCGGCCCCAAAACTTTCCGCTGCCTTTTTTGCCTGGGCGCGCGAGGCGAGGGCGAGCTGTTGCTTTGCGGGATCGGCGAGGGTGGTGGGGGGCCCGGCACTCACATGGGGCGCGCCGCTCCCAGAGAGAGAGAGAGGAAGACGACGCGCAAATCCAGCCCGCTCCCACGCGCGCCGTCCCCGGCCGGACAAATTTATTGCGCGCCACCAATCAAATCGCCCAGCGTTGCGTTTTTAACGGACGCGCCGCGCCACAAAGGTGGGCTGGGTCGGGTCTGGGTCTGCCGTTGTCACACGACGAGGTCGGTTTTTTTTTTTAGAGGATAGTAGAAGGCGTAGTCTACCCGATCGTAGTCCCAAGTGAGTCCCGTGAGTATCTACAAAAACGAGTTTGGACTGTAACGACGATTCCATTTCTATGCACGGCTGGGTCGACATAGGGGAAGACGACATGGAAAAGTAGCAGCAACAGGTGGCTGCGCCTTGAGATATTTTGAAACTGGCTTCACAAAAGTTATGTCATCTTTAAGGCTGGTCATAGTGGGAGTAATATAGGTAGTAACATAGATGCCACGTAAGTAAAAATGGTGATGTGGCAAGTAGTTAATAAGAAGAGAGGCAAATAGAGTAACATAATATGTTACCATCACATAGCGCTTCCCAATGCATAATGAGTCTAAAAAGTAATAAATGAAAGCATCTATGTTACCACACCTATGACACTACCCACTATGAAGGTAGTAACATACTCCCTCTGTCCGCGAATAAGTGTACTTCTAGCTTTTGTTCTAAGTCAAAGTTTTAAAACTTTGACCAACTATATACAAAAAAGTAGTAACATATATGATATCAAATTGATATATTATGAAAATACATTTCAAAACAGATCTAGTGATACTAATTTAGTGTCATAAGTGCTACTACTTTTTTTCATAAAGTTGGTCAAAGTTTTAAAACTTTGACTTAAGACAAAAGCTAGAAGTACACTTATTCGCGGATGGAGAGAGTAGACTAGTAACATATGTATGCGTATGTTACTACTCTAAGTTACTCCCCACTATGACTAGCCTAAAGGTAACTAGCTCCATGCCCGCGCGTTGCCACGAAGAAACAAATTTAGAGATGAAAATATCTATGTCAAATATTATTGTAATTTATAATGTGCATGTTGTACGTGGTATTTGAATATGTTGAGATATCATCTTGAAATGTCTGCTCACGACCGCCTCTCGTCTATCGCTTGTTGTTAACGCCAGACATGTCTCCGTTCTATCATGTTGTTCCTACCACTCTAAGCGTAATAATGGTGAGCTCTTCCCCGCAATAAAATAAAATAATGGTGAGCTCTCGCCTTTCTTTTCATATTTAGCCTTCTCTGTCGCGCCTTCCTATCCGATCTTCTATAGCACCACCTACAGTGGATGTCATATTTCTCGGTCACTTGGAGCACTCACACCACCCCAGAACATTGCGGTCTCGCTCCCATTTACTTTCTCGCCCAGGTCCGGGTCCTCCTAACCTCCCAAGTGCGATTTTTTTGTTGTGCCATCGTGTCACACTTGCTATTAGTGTTTAACAATGACCCCATTGTGATATATAGATAGATTAGCAATGCTACTGCCCACATTAAATTTCCAACTGCAACTTAACAACCACCAAGCTTATAATATCTTCTCCCTTGATGCGCAATAACCTCAGTATGTGTGCATCACTTATTCTATTTGTCAAATGCATCCAAACATAACATATGTTCAGTTTTTCACCGTTTAGCTATAAACATAAACATTTTCTTTCATTACCTCCCTCTCGGCCCCCATGTGCACTCTTTCTCCATTGCTAGCCCTTGTCTTCAACTGCACAAACAACATGAAAATTGACACATGCATAGTGACATACGATGTCCTTTCTATGTCAAATATTCGGTAAATTGGATGTTGGATGATCCATCAGATATATTTCAGCCATCATGACTGTTTTTGCATTTTCTCAACATCTTTTGAGCGAGAGATTATAGTGCCAGCTACATCGGTCGGTAGATAAGTCTTCTCAACTGACAAACAACTTAAATCAAAACTCTACATAACCGGATTGTTTACACTAAGCATTGCACAGTTTTGAATTTCAGTATGTGGTGTCTGCTTGCACCTGTAGTTCTGCATCTCTGCTACATAGATACAACATATCCACCATGGTTGTTGAGCTCGCAGTCAACAAGGTGCTAAGTAAGTAAGCATATTTTTTTTTGCGGGTAAAGTAAGCATTTTCTGCTGATTGCAAGCATGCCATCGATCAGATGACTGACGTGACTACGTGAGCAAGCACATTCTGGTTCTTTTGGCATATGCAAATGAGCACTATCACAAATAGAAAGCTGAAATAAATTGCAAAAACAGAAGAACTTACACAAGCATGTTATTATATGTGTGATATGTAATCCAAGAGATCAAGCAAAAAGAATGCAAACAAACTCTTTGCCTGTCCTTCCACTGAATATTAGGAGTGCATTAGTAACAGTATTAGTAATAGATTAGAGTTGTCTGTTCTGAACTTATGATAGTATAAGCCGCCTCTTGTGTTTTCGTCACACAAGGGGAAACAAACAGAACTGGAAAACACACGTAGCTAGCAACGAGAAAAAAAGGCTGGGTCATTACCGCTTGCATCGCCCACCCCTTGGACCATAGGACCATGCCTGTGCTGCCTGTACTCCCGGCCGGCCGTCTGGTTCCTCCATCCCACGCGACAACAACGTGTATGTGCGCGCTAAGAGCAACTTCAATGGGGCGATCCAAACAGACGGCGAATTTGTCCGCTTTTTGTCCGTTTGGGTCGGTCGCCCGTCCACCGTCCACCCAGTTTTGCATTTGGGTCGGCAATGTGCCCAATGCGTCGACCCATTTCATGTCTGCATTCAACTTTTAAATAAAAAAGACCCGCGGCCGATCATGTCAGCGTTCATGTCTCATGCCGACACCATGCCAGCGCCGGCATACAATGCCGGTCTCAGAAAGCACCACAGTTTATGCTGGCGCACTCGCCAGCCGAGCGGCACACATGCCAGCACACAAAAAATGGTGGGACTTGAGTTCAACCACGCCATCGCGGCTCCCGTGGTCATGCCGGCACACCTGCTGTCATACAAAAAAGATGGCCCCTCAACGCCATAGATCACTCGTCGTTGAACTTGAGCATGTCGGCCTGCATCTTCTCGAACCACGGTCTCTTCCTTGGCGACAAGGCGTTGAGATCCACCTTCATGATCTCCACCCCGGTCATCATGCTTGCAAGAGCCACTTCTTTCGCCTTTGTTTTGGCGTTGGCGGTCTCGATCTCTAGCATCTTGGCTTGCTTCTCCGCCTCGAACTCGAACATCTTGGCTTGCTTCTCGGCGTCAAGATCAAGCCTCCTCCTTTGGATCTCCATGAAAGCATCCATTTGCTCCGCCTTGAAACGCCGGCGCTCCTCCTCTCTTGAGTCCTTCTTATTCATCATGCCGTCCACGCTTGCGATCAAGGCGTTGGTGGCCGCATCTCGCTTGTCCTCCTTCTTGGAGTTGGTCTTCCCCCGCGGCCGTGCCGGATCGCCCTCCCCAACATCCTCCACGGCGCCCTTCCCCCCACATGCCTTGAGCGCGGTATATTGTGCCTTGAATTTCTCTTCGTCCTTGATGACCCGATAGCAATGGGAGAGGTTGAAGCACTTGCCATTGTGTTGAACCTTGAATGCCTCCAAAGCTTGAAATGCCTACAAAATGTTTCCATGCAAAATGAAGACGTAAAAGGATGATCTTGATGGCACAAAAGAGGGCGACTTGCTTGCTGAAAGAACATGCGGTGCCCCCATGTTTGGTTTTGGTAATTGATGACAATCTCTATGGACTAATGGTTGTCTCGAGTTATATTTGAAGGATCTGTCCATAGGCTTTTCTTGAATTCCATGTGTTGGTTTCAAGGAGTTTATGAGTTGACCAAGGTGCCATTAAGGAATTATCCAAAGATTGGTCATGTGAGTGTTGAGCTTATTGCAAGCATGTCTTGAAGAAGAAGATTGTGTGATCATTCATGTTTACCTTCAAGACATCATCCAAATGAAGAGAGTTGGAAAGATTCAAGGTTGATCAAGACTAAGTCAAAGAATGAATCAAGTTGATCAACACACAAAGCATAGAAGATGTACCGAGAGGGATCAAGCGATCCCATGGTATGGTAAACATGGTCAATCACGCTTTGTGTACTAACCCATGGTCTTCGTGAGAGTTCTTTGTGGGGTTAGGTTGCGGTGTGCAAGTTCAAGTAGGATCATCACGAAGAGATCATATGCTTGAAGCTTGCCGTCCATTGTGGCGACAATGGACTTGTGAAGATGTGCAGAAGAGTGGCTCACCCATAGTGGAGTATGGGGGAGCAATCTCTAGTCTTCATCGAGCCAAAGCAATCAAGAAAGGTGGTCCATCTTGAGGAGGAGAAGATCGTCATCATCTAGCTCAAGTGGATCATGTGCAAGGCAAAGGTTTGCCCTTGATAGGTTTTCTATTTTACCGGTCTCACGGTAGTTGTGGGAGACCGGGTTATAGGATTGATTGCCGTACCATCAAGGGGGGCTCTCGTTGAGTTGCTTGATCGTATCGTTCATAGAGAGCTCAAACCATTGCATCCTTGCATCATCTTTTTGGTTCTTGTTTGGTTCTTCTCCTTGTGAGATTTGGAGCTCATGGTCTTTTTTATGACAAGCTCGAGTTCATCGAAAACGGAGTTCTCATGCATCTTCTATGATGTTTTCGATGTTGGAGGGTATGCCGGTTCTTCTCGGTTGGAGGTTTCACTCCTTTGTTTGCTAAGCATACCTCCCCTGCCTCTTCTTACTATAACCAGTCGCTGTTTTAATGCTACTCGTCTTGCCCTATCCAACAAGCTTGAGTTTGCTCAATTCGGAGCTCATATGAAGAAGTTATGGCAGTTCTGGTTTTCCTTGGAGTATTCTTTGTTTTCGTGGTTGAGGCATAAGGTTGGCCCCAGCGGTAGTACCGCGACCACAGCGGTAGTACCGCCGAAGCTCCCCAGCGGTAGTACCGCTCTCAGAGCGGTAGTACCGCTCTCCGAACGGTAGTACCGCTTGGGATTTTCGGCTGTAGTACCGCTGTGTGTCTGGGCTACTTCCGCCTCGATTCTCGAACGAAGTTTTTTGTGTCGGGTTTTGCGGCACTAAGGGAGGTAGTAGGAGCGGTAGTACCGCCCTAAGCGGTAGTACCGCTCTTCCCTAGCGGTAGTACCGCCCTGGGGTTAGGGCCCTGGCAGCGCGGCAGTACCGCTGGGTTGAGCGGTAGTACCGCCCGGAGCGGTAGTACCGCCCTTCCCTAGCGGTAGTACCGCTCTGTGCGGGGATGTTCAGTGGGGTAACGGTTGGATTTTCCCCCTCCTATAAAAGGGGGTCTTCTTCCCCATTGAACCTTATCCTTTCGAGCTC